AGGAAATCCGAGTTTGGAGCGTCAGCAGATCCCAAAGAGCAGCCCCATGGCCTGTGCTGGGGCCAGGGGAGGGTTCTGGGTTTCTGCATGCAGAAAACACTGGCTCAGCCCCACTGAATGTCCCCTTTATTTCTCTGATAAAGACAGCAGTGTCAGCAGCAAAAGCTGTTCTTTGTGAAAAATAACCCCGGGGAGGACGATTTTCACACTGCTGGCGCTGCCTCTTCAACCCCTGGAGCGGAGAGCAGCGCTGCGGGGTCCCTACGCCCTTCATTTTATCGGGGAGGTGACAGTTTTTAATATTTTACCCCTGCTGGAGGGCTCTTGCCTCAGGTAAGGAGCTGTAGGTGGGAGGGATAAGGATTTCCCAGCAGGAGGAGCGCTCGGCCGGGAAAACCGGCCCCCCTCATCCCTGCATCCCTGTCCTGGCAGCTCTGGGACTCGTTTGCCTTTGGCTGCGATTTCATAAGAGCCCAAAGCCGCTCTCGGGGGTCAGGCTGGGTTTATTTGGTCTGTGTGGGCTGATTTTACCACGGGCCTGGCTGGAACGAGGGCAGCTGCTCTGGGCAAAGGTCGGCAGCGGCTCTGCGGGGCCGTCCCGGGGAAACCCTCGGGTCTTGCGGCTTTTGGGAGCGGGACCGGCAGCAACAACCAGGACACGGCGCTTCGCCGTGCCCAGCTAGAAAGGCTCCCTTTTTACCCGATAAATGCAGTTTTAATTCCTATAAATCACATGAGCATCCTCATATTGCTCCTAATAGCAAGGTACCCACCTGCTTGGCCGAATGGGGCAAGAACTGGACAAAACAGCTCTGCTTAGCGCGCGCCGCTTCCGCTCGCGCTCGTTTGTAGCTGCCAGGGAAAAGGTTGTCGCTTTTACCCGCACAGAGAGGGTTGGGGAGCAATCCTGGTTATTTTACAGGCTAAATAACCCTGCAATGCAGTCAGCTAGGAGGGAGGAAAAACCTGTGCACGCGGCTGCTGTAGAATCACCAGGGCTCCGTGCACCGGTGCAAAGGTTTCCTGCTGCAGGGACGCGGCAGGAGCGGGATCTTTAGCCAGGGGTAAGTACGTGCCCGGCACACGAGCCCAAATCGGCGAGGCAGGAGGGCAGCTCTTTGCTTTTCCGATGTTTTGGTGCCGAAGCCACCACCGTTTTCCCTTAGCGGATTTCCTCTTCCGGAGTTTCCCTCGCGGCACGTGGGAAAGGCTCAGGTTATGTAAACCCTTCTTTAAAAGCACAGGGAATTAAACAGGGGGCTGCAGCGGGCGGTTACCGTTTCCATGAGCAAAGATTGCGGATTACGCGGCCGCGCTCCCGGGCACAGATGGCGGCGGGTTTGACGTTTTCCGGCGAGCGCGGCCGGAGCGGGGGGGATTAAGCGTCCCCTGCTCCCGCAGGAATCCCGGTGCCGCGGGCGCGCTCGGCTCGCCGGCGTCTCCCGGGACCTGCAAGGACGATTGGGACAAACGGAGCCAAGAGGTGGGTTGTTAGCAGAGAGGGGGGCCACGGAGGTCGCGTGTGTTTTATGGGGGGGAAAAAGGGCGGAGCTGATGTTTTTAGGGAGGAAACTGGGGATTTTGGTGCTTTATAGGGGGAAAACTGGG